ACAACAGACCGGAAGCAGCCATTAAGCCGTAGTGTGCAACAAAATTGATACTCCAATTATTTAAAACTGGGACACATTGAGGGACATTTAGAACAGAAAAAATACACAAGTGTTATCGAATAAAACATATCCATTACAAACGGAAATTGGTAGTATACTTAAATTTCCTTATAATAACTACCATTAAAAAGTTAGTAACACTACGCTTTTGAAAATCAATGGTTTACACTGAGAAGAGGGTTGAATTAATAGCGTTGCGAATTATGATGGTCGTGACTGCGATCGAAATCCTCGCGATGCTAGTTTTGATAGCAACCTGGAAACCCAAAGCATTTATGTCGAGGACAGTCAACTTTTACGCAATACACCCATTATACATCAACCAACTGGCGATTCTGTTATTATTCTAATATTATCAAAGCAGACTCCCAAAAATATATTGGCTAAAACCCAAACACCTTTGCTTATATCGGGGAACGCGTTTTGTTTGCACAGGGCTGCTTAAGTCAGCATAAATTTAAGCGTCCTAATGTTGTGGCCTGGGGTTTTACTAAGTTGATCAACCCTAGAATCTGCTGTCAAATTATCGTTTAAGGTCTAACCTTTCATCACATTTTTTCGGTGGTCCTATGTCCCCTAGGACATCCGTTGGCGGCAGTTCCCAATAATCTTATACACCCACCCCGACTCTCTCTACTAGCTCTCCAAGGTCAGTCTCGCGTAACCCTGGCAACGGCCTATACTCCGACCCTATTTGTGACACTACCCTTCTTCAAGGCAGCGCAAGATATCTGCTTTCGCGTTATCGACCGCTTTCACGCCTTTGCGGAAGAGTGCGTTGCCACCGTTCAGGTGAGTCCTTCAGTTTGAGAAGAATGAAAACTGGAGTTCGTCCTTGACCTCTGCTTATCATATACAGTTACGTATTTTAGTAAGCAAACGAAATTGCCCGACGCGTGTACTTGTCTGGCGGGAGGGAACTCATCTAAGAAGCGATAGGCAGAAACTGATGTAAATTTGAATTATCCCAGAAACCATTTTTTTACCAGCTAGTTTAATATCCTCTACTCTGTTTGGCGTTATCGAAGTGAATTATAAAATGCAGTCATTTGTTGTTCGTAGTGACATTCCATAATCTAAAGGTCCTTCTCACAGCGTTCCCTCGTTATCAAATGAAAGGGATTTTATTTGAAATTCGTGAATTAAGCTAAAAAATTATCTGGCTTAGAATCAGATTGCTTAAGTATGCATTTTTTTTAATGATGTAGCCTTTCATTTTTTTTCTAAATCCTTCTGCATCAGTTTTTTCTCAGAAAGTAATTGCATTCCATGTATATTCAGGTGATAGTCACAAATAAGATATAAGGGAAAGATACATAGACAGAATTCTCTGCAGAATAACACATGCTTGAATTCATAGCCGTATGGAAGATACTTTTATAAATGCAATAACGAAGTCGGTACATTTCCAGACTGCGCTCGAGACTGAAAACATGTCCACATAAAGGCCAGGAGGGTAGCCGAGATAGTGAATGTCACTTAATCACGCAATCATCGGCATCTCAATTAAACACCATTAAGCGTTGGCCTGTTTGTTTGATTAGTTAACTCCTGGGGTTCAGACCTTCTGTCTTTGGCTATACCCGGCTCAAATGTGAGTGTACTACCTTTCCTTTGACAAGAAATCTGAAGCCCAAGCCGATTTCCCATCTGATAGAGAAGTTATAACTGCCGTCACTATTCCTCGGCCTCTGGCGAACACTGCTCTTGTCACAACCTTTGGTTTTATCCCAAGGAGACGTTTTAGGTGCACTAGCAACTTGCCCTTACTCATAAGTGCTTATTCATTCTCCTGCATTAAGGTCATTTTGCCGCCAACCAATCAAATTTACGCCAAGCTGCAGGCCTTGATGAACGCGACGGATAACCCCCTTGAGGAGACCCTGAGAACTAGGGACCACAAAGAACTAGCCAACGTGATTTCTTCCCTGGCCTCGGTTCAGGCAGCACTGAGCTACGGGGACTTCGAAGGTGAGTCAGCCAAGGCCTTCATTCGCGAACTCTATAACATATTGAAATATCCGCTCCGCCCGCACTGTTAATAGTATGCGCTAGGCCGTCTGTGTTGTGTTGTTGCATCAGCTTGACAGTGTGTGAGTGTCCTTTTAAACACTGTGCTCATCCCGCCTCAGGCGGCCGACCAGCTAGGCAGTGGCCTGTTGCTGGCGGTGGGGGAGAGAGTGCGGTCGACTCTTAGCGAATTCCTTTCTTCACTATAATCTGTCTGATGCGCTTAAAGCTATCGCGGTGCGCTAAAAGCCGTGGCTTGGAGGGTTGCCAACTGACGGGATAACTTGGACACCACAGTCAACCCAGTGTGTCTTCTTGTGTGGAGTGGTTGTCTGCGGGCTGAGAGTCAGGCTCAATGGATCCTTAAAGTGACCTTTATGACGCTCCCAGGCAAGAGCCCATCTAGCGAGCTGTGCTGTCGGTAGGCGTGCTGGAGTGTTGGTCATGCCAGAGGCCTGCATCCTCCTCCATCTCCGGTCTTCTTGGCTTTTGTCTTGACACCGGATCCCTGTATGGGAGTGATGAGAGAGTGAAGTAGCTTCTCCGAAAGTCTACTTTCAATATGATACTGCTGAAGCTCGTGATGGAAATCGTCGTAACTAACGGTCGAACTGCCGTGTGTGTTTGTGTGTGATGAGATTTGTTCTGTGATCCCTGCGATTCTCGCCAGCTCCGTGTTTACCGAGAGTTTGTATGTAACAAATTTTGGTAACACGTTTTTGCCAACACATCTATGCAGAAACGGGATCTGCGCATAGGTTGAGGTCACACAAAAGGTAAATCTTTCCCATCATCGGGCCGATCGGAGCACATCGCCCTCCAAATAAATTGCCAATAAAAGCGAACATGCGAGTGTCAGGAAGTAATTAAGAAAAAGAATATGCAATCGCTGGGATAACATATTTATTCGTCTGACGTTTCGACATCCGTCGCGGATTCTTCATCAGAGAAATGAACAGAAAATAGAAGCAGAAGCGTTTGTTACTTGCACAAAAAATTGCAGTTTTTATAGGGCAAAATCATTTCTGTAAACCTATGACAAATAACGACAATAAGCGCTAATTGCCGTCTTGTGCGTGGATTGCTCGATGACCGGCATTCGTGCCGTGACTTTCTGAAATATGCATCACGCATGGTGGAATTGGA